CAATTAGCTCTGGAATACTTGAGCATGTGGTTTATAAATATACCCAATATTTTTTAAAAATTCTCAGGAATCAAAAACAAAGAATAGACTAGACACCTTTCCACGTTCCCATGCATGCTCTTTCCCGAATCAGATTCATTATAATATTTTAAAGATTGACTTTTAGACTCCAGAACAAGTCTTATTCCATCATCAAACATGATCGTGAAATTATCTTCCGGTGACCTTATACACCATCCTAAATTACGAATAAACCGATACGTTAAATTAACCATGCCTGACTGAGTTGATATGGAACATGGTGAGGATGTAAGGTATTGTGAATAATAAATTGTTGGATGTTCGCAATCACTCTGAGTTCCATTAGGATTTGTTGTTGACGATTTCACTTCAGTGGGAATTGACATTTCCGATGCAGATAAAGTCAACGTCTTCTGTGGGGGTGGTACATTCTCCTTAGTTACACATACATTCTGTATAATTTTCTCGTCTTCATTCGCATCATAAAGATGGTTCTTTATAATTAACGGGTATACGGTATTAGGGTCTTCCTTTTCATTTAACTCAATGTCCAGACACTGCTTCAGACATTCTTGCATATGTCGAATAATCGATAATAGTTCATGCGGATAGTTGTACTCCTCATTTCTGCCAACCGTCAAGTTGTATGTAATTAAATTATCTGGTGAGGAAGGCGAGGGAACTTTTATTTCGACGATCCCCTTTGATAGTGAATTGTGAACGCTGACTTGATTATAAAATTGCATTTCAAAATCAGGAAATGGACCATTTTCCATAAGGGTGCATTTTGCTTGTGGCGAATAGAAAATAATCTGATGAATTTTAGGATTAATTAAAAGTTATATAAAGGTTATGTCAAATTATAAAATCATAAAAAATTTTTTTAACCTTTGGTGTTTTCCTTTTCATCAAATCCACAACTTTGAACGCAAACTTGTATCTTCTAAGGTACATTTGCGGCAGCTCGTCTAAAGCGAACGTTTTAACGGGGCTAACCAGAATTGTCGGAGAATATTTTCCAATGGGACGCTCAAACAAGTCGATCTATGTGTAAAGTAATATTATAAGTGTGGTAAATCTGCTTTGATAATGCTAAACTGTTATCAATAGGTTTACAAACTTTTTCGCCATCGCTGCTAATTGTCATAAGATAACGGTCATCAAAGAAATCCAGATATAACGCACCGGATACCAAAATTTCAAGGTTGGCATATTTTGTTTTCTGCTTTTGAGGTTTTAGACGAGTCGTATTTAATCTCGATCTCGTTGATAATTTGTTATTGATTGATGATGAAAAGTAATCCTGTTTGTTGTTATTTTCGTGAATTTCTTTTAAGTCTGTTCTAAACTTAGATTCATCATTATTATCAAGAGGGGAAAATTCACGCAAAGGCTTGATCGAGAACTGGCGGCTGAAAAATGGATGGCTGAAAATATATCGGAGGGGAAGGCGACGTCGAAAATCCTTTTTGATATCACACAAAAAAAACATTGAATCAACCACATTAAGAAAATTAAATTAAGCAATCTTAACGAAAAAGAACTTACCACTCGCAGTAGTTTTTCAATTAGATTTCGTGCCTCTTCTGACAAAGTCTCGGGTAGGTTATATTCCGCCTTTTGAACTTTTTCCAATGTTTTCTCAACTTTTTTATCCTAAAGCGTGCAGTTAAAAGAACCAAATGAATTTAGATCTTTAATAAAAATTTTCAAACGCTTTTCAGATTAAGCAATACCTCAAACGGCGGTCGGCCCGTAAGCATAACGACAAACATCACCCCAAGCGACCATACATCGGCAGCAAGTCCATATGGTTGTAAAGATACAACTTCCCTTGTAATGAATTAAGTATAGGCGCCATGTTAGAAAATTGATAAGTTTAATTTTCTTTGCACACAATGGAAAAACAATACTCACGGTGAAATGTAATTGGGGGTTCCACAAACTGTCTTTTGTTCGTCCCGCTCATAGATATTTGTCGACATTCCAAAATCCGCAATTTTCTGAAAAAAAGATGAACCACATACGCATACATCATTACAAATTCATTTCAAATACGACAAATACCATTACAATCACCAATATATACCACTTCATAATTCTCTGTTAATAGGATATTTGATAACTTCAGATCTCTATGCATGATACCTTGTGAATGCATATATTGTAAGCCCTCTACTAAATGAACCATCACTCCTCGAGCTTCGGCTTCGCACAAAGGTACTTTACGGTTACGGATGAATTTGAACAATTCTCCTTTAGAACAGAATTCAGTAACCAAATAAACATTCTCGCGATCTTCGAATGAGTCATACAATGCTAATATGGATGGGTGGGAGAGTTGTCTGTGATTTTTAATTTCGGCTTTTATGTAATTTTTTAATTGATTTATATCGTTCTCATCTTGAATGCTCCTTTCAATTAGTCTTCGTTTGCTGATCTGATAAAGTATACAAGAACAATCAATATCGAGACAAACACATTAAGAAAAAATATAGTAAATAGTCTCTTACAATTTTAATTGCCACTTCTCTTCCTTGAAGTTTACCGCTTCGTGCTACAGCCCGATAGACATTTGCGAACCCTCCACAACCTAACAGCTTCCCTATTTCAAAATCCTTTTTTCAATATAAAATTAATATATTTTCACGCGCGTGTCAAAAAAAAAACGCGTACATTATGGGATATTGGACCTTCACAGTGCTGCTGCTTTTAGAAACATAATTTTGCGCGTCAAGTTTATTCTCGTAATCCTGCGTCTTATCCTCAATATTGATCGGGTTGCTTTGAACGGAATGCAGAATTTCGAGGTCACCAACGTTACTTCTCGCTGACGGCTTTAAGGTAGTGGTATCTTTGGAGTAATACTTTTTTGGTAATCTTGAGTAATAAACGTGATTCTCGCGCATCCTTATGTTAAAAAAAAAAATCAAATCACCTACGTACAGTATATTTTTAAAATACAAAATGATCGACTTGATCGACCAATTAGCTCTGGAATACTTGAGCATGTGGTTTATAAATATACCCAATATTTTTTAAAAATTCTCAGGAATCAAAAATCAAAGCGTTAAACTTTCACCGCTGCTTCACAGACAGTGTAACTTTATTACGATAAAAAAAACAATGAATGGTGATATGAGATATCTTGTAACTCTGACATCGTATACGAAGTGCGACGGTTGAATATAGTTGCCCGATTTATAATATTTATGAAAGGCTTTTTGGTCAAATCATCAGGAATTTAGCACGCGTATAATTGATAAGAATCACAAGAACGTGGTTAATTAATTGGGTGAATTATTTCATACTTTTGTCATAAAATTGAGTACTTTGAATTACACACTACGAGGAGGAGAAAAGGATTTAGGTCATAAGCTCATAAAATCAGAAAAAACGAATTCATATTTTAAGATGCAACGCCATTCATGAGTCAGTGTCAGTTGGACGTCAATTTTTTGTAAACCGTCCTACGAATATGAAATTCATGACAATGAGAAAATGTATCGAACAATTTAAGGGACAAGAAATAATCATACGTGCTTACCATTGAACTCCATAGAAAAGTCCTAATCCGATAGTGCTCAAACCCACATGGGTTTTATTAATCGATGGCTTCTTAATTATCCAGCCCACCACCAATCCGGCGATGGCAATGTCAATTGCTACTCCTAACGCAACTTTTCCCTTCGAACCTTTACGGTTTCCACCTTTACCGTCTCCACGTGATGTTTGTTTCTTGTTAGTTGACCTCGGTTTGCTTTCCGATTTGTCGGTGGAAGAGCCACCAATCTCAGAAGAACGATTGATGCTTATTTGACCGGTACTGACATCACCCTTGCGACTCACGGTTGCTTCGAAATTCTCGTCGGTGTCGAGTCCGTGATGAATTCCATGTCCATTTGGATTGATTTGTTTATGTTGCAAATCGGCATGCATGTTTTCATCTTCATTGTGAACATTTTTCTTTGCAGCATCAGCATAAGATTGTGCCATCTTTTATCACGAAAAGAATCTATCCCGGTGCTATGTGCTGGTTTAAATTTTGGTGTGTTAAATTGGTTTATATTGGGAAAAAAAATTTTTTTTTAAAAAAAAAAATGAAAATACGTAAAATTACGTATTTTCAAGAGAAAAAAGTAAATCGGTAATTTCTTGATTAATTGATAATTAAAGTAGCCAATTGATTGACTGATACCGATACGTAATTCCCGCCGGCTTCCATTCGTGTGGGGGTACACAAAAAGCAACTCCTAGTCTTAAATTAGTTGACATCTTCAAGCCGAGGTTTTAGCGTCGGGACGCTCAACACAACAATAAATCCCAAAAACTAGTTTAGGCACCAATTAAATGTTTATTTTTTTTATCTTAATTAAAAAAAAAATTTTTAAAAACAATGTATATAAATAGAAAAAACATTAAATAATTAAAAAATATGATGGGCAAATAAATATGAAAAATTTCTATTGTTAATTCATTGTCAATTCCATTCATGATGGATATACTGTATTTGAAATTAATTTTTTTATACTGTATAGGGAATTGTGATTTAAATATTTATTAGATATGATCAGTGTATATACTGTATGTAGACAATGTTTTATAAAAATAAATATTAAAGTTTTAAATTAAATATACTGTATAATATTAATGGTGATATGTTGTAATATATTAAATTTTTTATATACTGTAAAATTAATATCATGTGTATGAAATCTATAATGTTAATTTATTCGAAGCGCCCTTCATTTGGCGAAAAAGTACTTTTCTTTAAACAGAAGGAAGACAAAGCTGTGTGACGGTAATAACTAGTGCCAATTTATTATCATAATAAGTGATGTAAACATGATTAGTGTGTATTAAAAAGCATCGTCAGATTCCTTCTTTTTCATTGTCACTGTCATTCACGTGATATCTCCAAAGATGCAAAGTAGTATCGTCAGAACAAGATGCAAACTGGTAAAAAGAACGTTTTCGAAAAATGTTAATCTAATTATGGGAAATGTAATCAAGAAATTGCATCGAAATACCGTTTCGATATCTTTTGACCAACTCAAACTAGTGACTTCATTCTCATGGGCCTTTAAAATAACTGGGCTTTCTTCCGGAAAATCGGTTTCCCACATGTATATGTTCTTGTCACTTGATCCACTAATGATATATCTATCGTCGGGAGATATGGCCATACGAATATAGAATGATGAGCACCGAAATGTTGGGCTGGTGAAGCGTGCCAACGGTGCGCCCAGATTTGCAGGGTCATACATGTAAACACTATTATATACAGTGTATATTATGACGAATTAATAGAAAAAAAAACCACTTTTTATATGCAAAAATTAGAACATTTACAAGTTATCGGTGCTGTTTGTATACAACCGATTTCCTCTGTTATTTAGCAACAAAGCAGATACGCCTACCGAATTTTATACATAGCAAAAGGAAAAAATATTATTTATCCATTATTCAGCGAAAATGCAAAAACACATTTTAACTCACCATGTGGCCGTTTAGCCGTAGACCCGTCAATAGAAGTTTGAACCGGAGGGGTATCCTTGATCGCGCTGTGATTCCGTAAATCCCAATATTTGATGATACTGAGTATCGGAAGAAAAAATGATGGAATTATATACACGAAGAATTTTCAACTCGAAAGGTCACGGCATCAGGGGATCAAACGGCTCGATTATGGGATGTAGAATCACAAA